CATCTCAGGGTTTGACTGTTGAGGATCAGTATTTACCACCAGTCCAGCAATGAGAATGTCTGGTTTGGTCTAGTCTTATTTTACAAATAAGAAAATGAAGGGCCACGCAATGTTTTCAAAAATCCACATCTAAGCAGTGCTACTCCAATAGAAAGCTATTTTTAAAAAGCCATGTGATGTAATTAGCCTATTGTGGACGAGAAACCATATTTTCTGGCTCCCAGCATAGCCACCTTCCAGAGGGTCATATCTCCCCTTGGAGTAGTCACAATTAAGATTTTTGTACTTGATTTCTTCCATAGATGAGACCTAGCATACACCTGAGGCTTGGACATGTGCTCATCTCCTGAGTGCTCCTAATTAAAATGCCTGGATCTTGTCACTCCAGTGCCCTGCTTTCAAGTTTGAAGCTCTTAGTTACACCAAGCCACGGCATCTGGCTACTAGTCAGTCTTTTCTTCTCTGTTCCCTCCTATTTTTGTTTGATTTTCACCAATTCTTTAAATTTATTTTCAAGAGATCCCCTTCCTTTGTTTACTTACAAGTCAAGGTGGGAAATACAGTGAAAACACTATTGTTCAGTATGGGAAAAAATTATTTGGAAGGCACCATTTAATGGCTCCACATTAACGACATACTGACTCTGAATGTAAATACCCAGCTTCCCCAGAAATAGGAGTTCAGTGAGCCTTTCTTGGTAAGCTGCCTGAAATAGCCAACATGTAAAAAGAAAAAGCTTTTGTGCATCTGTTTAGTCATTCACCAAATATTACTGATGTTAGTACTTCACACTAGTGCTGGGCCAGCCATGCAATACAGTTGTGAACAACAGAATAAATTCCCTGCCCTCATGGAGCTTACATTCCCCAGGACTGCATGTGAAGCCTACCCAACAGCACTGTGCAACACCGACAGCATAAGCTCCTCTTGGGCAGAGATTTCTCTCTGTTCTACTCATAGCTGTGTCTCTAGTGCCTCAGCTCATAGTAGGGGCTCAGTGGGTTGGGTGAGTGAGCAGCCATCAGGTGAAATAGAGCCTGTGTTCCTCCCCAATTAACTGTTTTACAAAAAGGAATAGAATAGGTAATGTTTAATAAGGGATATTATTGATGTAGAGGCTTAAATCATTCATGTTTGTTTTCTCAGTGCTGTATTTTCATAAGCTCAAAAAGCTTTTCATGGAAAAAAATTATTTCTGAATGCGTACTCTCAGGTGTGTGTGTGACATATGTAGCTATTAGCCCACATAGCTGCTGGAAATATATATTTAAAGATTTAAATATTTATAGTATTTTAAAGAGTAAATGATACTTTTATGTACAAGCTGGAGCAGTCAAGGATAAAATGCTTCCCACAGAACTAGAATGTTTGTTGTGATAAATAAAAAAGACAGTAATATCAATAGTTATAGTCAGTTCAGGTTATAATGGCTGTGATAATGCTGTCACTTTGTGTAGTCTTTTCATCTCTCAGATTTAAAAACATCTAAGAGCTGATGCTGAACAGATATAGGTTACATGGGTGCATACTTGTTTCTCTGTCAGCATGCCCAACAAAGTGTGTCTCTACTGGGTGACAGGGTGATGGCCTACCTAAGAATAAAAAATAAAGTGAGAGAGCTTAGAGTATGAAATAGCTTATGATTGATTAAGCCTAAGCATTTCAAAATGATAGAATTATCCAGGTGATAAGTTTACAAAGTATGACGGAGAAAATGGTCTTAGAAAAGTTTGCATAGGCCTGCTCGAGATGTCCTTACCTGTAAGCCACATAGTCATTCTTCCTATTTGAAGAAACTGTTGAGTTTTGCTTGTTTGCTTTAATGAGGCAAACTGAGAAATGGCTCACCATCACCAAAGAACACCACTACATCATGGTAAATTATTTAGCTTCTCCTTACTTTACCTTCCAATATCCAGATACAAAAGCTGAGCTTCTTCAGTTTCAACAAATAACTACTGTCCACATATCCTTTGTGTTAAACACTGGAAATGAGAATGTTGCCAGAACTGGATTAAAGAAGAGCTGGTTAGGGTGGGGGGAAAATTGATAATGAGGAAAGTAGTGTGTTTGGGGAATGAGTTGTCTGACAGTAGGAAATTCTGTAGGGCTCCCAGTTGGCTCCTGTGTCATTTGAAAAGTGCTGTGCTTGAGCAGTCTGCACTGATCAGCGAGAGATAAGGGAAGGATGAACAATTGAGAAGTTGGAAAACTTATGACCATAGGAGCTGCCTCAATGTCAGAGCTCTCTTAACCTAAAATGAATTCAAGTGACAGCAGGGAGTTGGAGAACTTAAAGACTAAGCATATTGTGAAATGCTGCTACTGAAGTTTTGGTCACAAGCCATGGATTATTCATAGGATCAAGACTAGTTTATATTTACACAATATCAGAGTGAGTAGCTAGGTCATGAGTGCACTATCCAGACATGCTCAAGAGCTCCCTACCCTTCTGTTGCAGTTGCAGTTCCAGTGAGAGGACAGGAATTTCAGTATAGATGAAGCTACTTTGTTCGAGGAAAGATGTTCACAGCAAGCAACTAAGTGAATATTGAGTAAAGAAAGGAGTAAGCCTTCTTATTTATAAATAACTAAGCCTTTTTATTTATAAATAAATTTCTGCAAGAACTAACTCATTTTTCTGTTGCTCTAATGCATCGTAGAACTAAGTTCAAAATTTTCTTAGTATATTGAAAATCCTACATCCCTAAAAAAAGCTTCGAAGAGCAGATTGAGGACCTCAAAATTTTTTTGTAATAAGTACATTTACTTTTTCCCATTTTTGTTTTAAATTTGGCAATCTAGTATATTTATTTTATTTTTTTCCCCATCAGGAGCCCTTATATCCCCTTTTACCCTTTCTGCTGACTCCACCTCCTAGCCTCAGAAATCTCACTTCATTTTTAGTGTCTGCTAATGTCTATAAGTATTTTACTTTGTCAAATTGTCTGCTCTGTATGTAAATGACCAATATTTAACTTCATCATGCTGACTTGCTTGACTACCCATTGTTCCCTTCAACTCCCTTCATTTTGCTAAAAATGTCAACATTTCATCTTTTCTTAGATGAATAGTATTCTATAGTGTAGATATACCATGTCTTCTTGATGAATCTTCTATTGATGGGCATTTAATTGCTTCTGTGCCCTAGCTAGTGTAAATAATACTGCATAAACATTATAAAGTGTGTAGTTCTTTGAGTTGTTATTTTCATGTTCTTTGGATAGATGCCCAGAATTGGAATTGCCGGGTCATAGGTACTTCCATTAATAGTTTGTTGACCTTTTTTTAATGGTGAAAAAGATTATATATAGAATTAGCCAGCTGGATTCAGTTTATATGATCCCAGTTTTGTTGGCAACATACAAAGCGTCATATTCAGCAACTCTTCAAACACATACCTTCTCTCCTTCGGGTCTGATCAGGGTGTTGACCTTGGCCACATCAGTGCCAAAGAACTTCATCTATTGCTCATTGGCCTTGATGGCCACAGTGAAAGCAAGTGTGTTGCTCAGTCTTCTATCTTGTGTTGTCCTCTATTCATGCCTGACCTAGTGGTCAGGTAGGAACCCGATGGCAGATTGATCAAGCTTGTTTCTCCTGAGGGTGCTGCTTTGAGGGCTTCTTGAGTATATGTTGTTGATTTTAATTTTTTAAAGATTATTTATTTATGCATGCAAGAACTGGGGTACAGGCCAAAGATACGGGGAGTAGGGTTGAGAGGGACAGTGAGATGATTCACCTAAGCCAGAGTAAGGAACAGAACAGGCAGATGTACTGAAATATACTGTTGAAGGGAGCAGCAGGTCTGCCACGCCATGTGGGTCACCTCTGGGGCCCAGGGTTGAACTCGGGCTGGAGTAGCTGTGGATAGTTTCATAGTGCGGTACTTTAGCCCCTTGCACCACTAGTGAGAGCCCCTAAATTCTTAAAGAAGTAAATAAATGTCTGAATAAAATCTGCCCTCCTGTAGGATCGTTTCTTCACCTCCACCTTTTGTTCCTATCCTCATTCCCTGTGGGAGTCTTTCAACATAATACAACATAATAAAATACAACATAATAAAAATTATGCCAAAGGGAGTAAAAAAGATATTGAACCCACAGAATACTTACTAATTGTAAAAGGGGAAATACATCATTACAGGGGACCTTGTGATAATCATTACCTTAGCCAAATGATCAAATTTATAGCACTAAGAATGGGACAGGCTAACATTTTGTGCCTCCTGAGTTAATGTAATATGAAGCATATAATATTCCACATAAAGTTTCATGCAAAAAATAGTTGACCTAAAAGTAAGTAACCTACATCTAAATCTACAGACAAACTTACAGTTTACAAACAAAACAGGGATGTATTAAATGTCACAATGAGGAAATATGAGACAGATCCAAAAGGAGAGACATCTTATAAGACTGTTGCCCTCTTCTCAAAAAATAAATGATTATTATGAAAAATATTAATAGCTTTTGTTTTCCTTTCATGAAAAATAAGGAAGAGCTATTTAAATAGCACTAAACAGATGAAAGAACTAAATACAATAGGTAAGTATTGGTTAATTCTGATTTGGATAATTGGAGACAATTGGAAAAATGATATTCATTTAATTGCTTATTAGTTATGTGATTAGTAGGTAATCTGTGGCCTCAGTGCATATGGATTGTAAAGTGATATGCCACAGTGCTAGTGGTAAGATCTGATGTGGTCATGTGGTTATATATTAGATGCCTTATGTTTATAAAATATGCTGGAGTCTGAGGGGTAAAGAGTTATGTTGTCTTCTATTGGCAAATCTAGATAGAGTGTATTTATGTGTTCACTGTACCATCTTTCAATTTTTCTATTTGTTTGAAAGTTATATATTTCTCTGTACATATGGATGTATAGAGAGATTGGGAAGGAGAAATATTGGTTTTTATTCTTTGAGAAGCAAAAGTTATAGACATACTAAATAATTTTTTTAAAGAATTAACTAATTTCCCCCCTTTTTATTTTAGGCTCAAGAAAAGGGAAGATTGGACTATGCTAAGGTAGGTAGATTTTATACATACAGCACAGCTTTATACATTACAGTTTGGTTTTTGTTTATATTTGAAAGATCAAAAGAGTATCATTACATTCAAAGTTGAGGGATATTATTTGTGAAATAGCAGGCAAGCTCAGGTACTAACTTCCTACAACAATAAGTTTACTTGTTAAGTGTCTACTTTATTCCAGGCACTTTGTTAGGTATTGAGAATACAACAGTGAACCAGATCAGTCTTCTCTTTCAGGAATATACAGTCTAGTGGGTGGGAAACATAACTCATAAACTACTAAGTGGATGCATCATATGTCAGGTGGTTGTAAGAAAGATAAAAAGAAAACAGGTAAGATCGCTATCCATTGCTTTTGTACTAAGGATGGAAAACAGCTCTTTGTACCATCAGATAATACCTGAGATGCATTATGCAGGGGCTTGGACCAATGCTTCTAGTGTCAGTAGCCCTCACATCATCTGTGAGCTTTTGAAAACACATACGCCTAGGCTACCCCTGCATCATACTTTCTTCCACCAGATCAAAACCCCTGGTGGAGAAAGCAGATCAGAGTCAGAATAGAAAGGTTTGAAAAAGTCGTCACAGAAGTTTTGACTCACTCACTGCCTTGGCTAAAAGCCTCATAGGCATTCAGATTTCAGTGCATCAGTGCAGACCCCGGGCATGTGTGGGGCAAGGGCTGTTCCTCTTAGGGACAAATGAAAACATTTTAGCAGGAATGTGGGATGTGCAGACCTTCCATAGTGCACAGATTGATAAAACTGGTGGGCTAAAGGAACAGCTAACTATCCAGTTTATGCAGCAGTCAGGGAGTGAACACACCTGCACTCCCAAGACAGGAGGTAGAAATACCAGAAGGACTCTGCAGTGAGACACCCGAATCCCATGATGTCTTCCAGGCAGATCTGGAATTGTGCTCTCCTGGCGGCCCTGAGGTACACACCCGTGGCTCCATGCCTTTACACTAACTCTTTTTCTCTTCCTGAAATGCATTCCCTTCTTATTTGCCAAACGTTGCCTTCTTCAAAAAAAGCTAGATAATAGGAGCACCTCTAAACTGAGGGCTTCCATATCTGTTACCCTGCCTTAGCTGTCTGCTTGAGCCTTATCGTATACCCAGACAAGCATTGTGGACATGTCTTCTTGGGTCTCCCACAGGTGTGCAGACTCAATGCATCTTAAACTGAATACAGATCTTCCCTGACATTTCTGCCTTTTTTGTTTTTTATAGGCTGGGGTATTTGTTTTGTTTTTTGGAAATTTTTCAGTTTTAGGGTTACTGAAAAATTGAGCAAAAAGTATAAAAAGTTCCCTGGCCCCTACATAACACACCATTTCCTGCCCCCCAACCCCATGCCCCCATCAACACTCTGAAGCAGTGGTGCATTTATTACAATCAGTAAAGCTGCTTGACACATCATCATCACCCAATAGCCACAGTTGACATTAGGGTTCACTCTTAGTGTTGTATTTCTGGTCCTTTTTACTTACTCGCTCTTGCTGGTGCTGTCAACTTGGTGGTCAGTCATGTGTAAAACAGAACAGCTTCTACTCCCTTCCTCCTATAGTCCATAACCAAGTCATGCCAGTTTTATATCCTACAATATCTTCACCCCAGCCCCTCCTCTTGATCTCTCTTCCATTGCTCACGTTGAGACTTTATTTGAACCAGACAGCCTACTGACTGGTCTTCCAGCCTCTCTTTTGTTCCCATAGATCCATTACCAGTCAGAATATCTGTCTATATCACAAATCTGACAGCTTCACACTCCAGCTTAAAACCCTCATTGGCTCCATGTGTCTATAAGGCAAATTCAAAGCTGGCAGATTGGCATATAAAGTACTGTGTGATCTCACCCCCTAGAGGGATTATTAGCTTTGTGCCCTTCCATCCTTTGCTCCAGCAGCACAAAATTACATAAAAATCTATTCTCCAGTCCTTAACTCATACTGTCCCTTCTGCTAGAAATGCCCTTCCCTCTTTATCTGGTTACCCTGTCCTCCAATAAGGCTTCATTTAGGATTGTCTCCTAAAGGAAGTCTGCCCTGGTCCCCCAGGCTTGATTAGGTACTTTCCTAACTAGGTGTACCCTCTAACTCACTGTGCAGCTCTCAGTTAGCGCACTTACTCTATTAAAGGATTCATTTCTGACACAGACATAGACTGTGAGCTCTGTGCAGGCAGTGTCATTGTCTTATTTGTCTTTGTATACTTGTTGTGTAACACTGCTTAGCCCTGGATAAGTGGGGATTGAGTAAGGCTATGAGTAAGAAGATAGCAGCATATGAAGTCAATTGCAGGAGAAAAACCTGGCATGGGTTTTGTTCCTTTCTTTAATCTCAATCAGAGAGGAAAGGAAAGCTTTTGACACAGGTTACAGGTATTAGGAGGATTAAGAAGATTGCTTTGGAAGGTTGTAATAAACTAGTACGGAGATAAAGGCTGGAATTCTACTGTTATAGTTAAAGAAACCTAGCATGACTTTAAAAAAAATAATAAGGGAAAAGTCATTATTTGGCAATAGAGTGACTTTTGATCCTTGTTGCTTATTTATGATTAAGAGAAGTCCTTTAGGATTTCTTACTGTGGAAACACATGACAATGGAAGAGACTCAAAAGAGAAAAATGTGGTACACAAATAGAACACCTCTGGGCCTGCCACCAATTAACTGTGAAATCCATTCTTAGTCACTTATCCTTTTTGGTGTTCTCTCAGTTACTGTGCTACAAAATGAATAGTTTAGAATAGTACTGTTCCACTCTAAGGTCCAGATTCGTTCCTTCATCCACCCAGCCACTGCTGACTTGAAATTTAGTGTATTTCAGGCACTGTGCCAGTGCTGACTACCACCCTGAGCAAGACTGGCTCAGGCCTTGCCTCACACACAGACCTCCCTATCTAAAATAGCCACTCCCTTTGCTGTAATTTTTTCTTCTCAACATTTACCATAATCTGACGTTACCGTTTTTATGTAGTCACTTGTTTCCATAAGTATGTAAGAGTCCCAAAGGAAAGGCCTCAGTGGCCTTGTTCGTGGTTGCATCATCTGTAGCCAATGCTTGCTAAGTGGATGCGGATGAATGTTCCACTAGTGCTCTGCTGGGGGAAATGCATGAGTCTGTGAGAGGTCCGGAACCAAAGACTGTAGATTCAGATCAGCCCATGCTAAGAGTATATTGACTCCACTAACAGTCCATCCTAATGTTCAGTAGCCCTAAGATTGCTTGCTCAAGTGTGTAGTAAAATTCTCATACCAATAAGTAGAAACCCAACCCCTGGAATATGTGGTGCTTTTCTGATATTTCTCGGCATAACTTGATCTAGGCAATTAATCAAGACTCATCCTCCTTACACAAACCTAAATCCAGGTAACATGGAAAAGAAAAATTATAGCCATCTCTCCCGTACCACAGCGCTCTGCAGGGCTCAGCTGTAGTGCTATCTCCTGGCAGTGTCATGGGGCCTTCGTAATGCATGTTACCACCTAAGATCTACTCATCTCTGCTTTCCATGGTGCCTGTGCTCATGCTAACTGATGCAGGTGTCATGCTTAGTGGCCTAGGCCCCCGCTAATGGGATAATCTGTAAAACTATATTTGAAAAACCCAGTAGCCATTTCTGGAAACCATCATGAAATTTGTTTGTTGCTGGAAATGTCTACAGTTCCAAGTGGTGAGCATTTCCTCAAAAGTCAAATTTTCTCTGAAATATCAGATTTCAAGGATGGTAGAATATTTCATTTTGACCACATGTCTGTGACTTGATGTGCCATCTCACGGATTTTGTCAGCCTCAGAATGGCGAGGAAGTAAGGGAGAGGGCAGAAGAGGTGAGCATTTCAAAATCAGTCTTAGCTGGATCTTGAGAATATCTGTCACATTCAGCAAAACAGAGGTCTATACTCAAACACTGATATAAAAAACTGAATTGCTTTTAATTGAGTTCTTGTTGCTATAGGGCCTGGATAGATGCCTTCCACTGGAGCAGTCAGTGCCTTTCATCTTAAGATATTGAAGCACTCAACAACTATTAATTCACTGAGGCTTCCCCGCCTCTGTAAAGTGGTTAAGTCAGCATAGGAGCCCTCTCCCCACTACTGAACTCATCCACGGGGGGCTGGGCAAGGATGGAAGCTGTTTAACTGTAAGGCGATTCTACACAGTAGCATTTGAAATAGAAAAACAAGGAACGTCTTAGTTGCCTGGTTAAAACTGCAGTTTTATTCACTACCAGAAGTGAGTTGTGTCCAAAAAGCTGGTGCTAACAGTTCTGCTCTTCCACACAGTGCTGTGAGGATCTTAATTATGGCGACTGGCCTGCAGCTCTGGCTGTGTGAATCTCGGGCTGTTCCCTGAGCGTAGGCTGGGGCTCCAAGGTTAAGCACACCTGATTGAGTTTAGTGCTAGAGGGAAGAGTGCCATCTATTGAATTGTAGGAATGCATGGGGGTGTGTTGGGACTGGTGGAGAAGCTTCTCAGACCATGTTCGTGCTTGGTTTGCTATGGTAACTAATATATATGTCTGAAAGAAAACGAATATGTTGACTACTCTTGCTTAGAAAAACATCTACAAACGTCTGTGTATTTTCCCCAGCTGGAGCTGAGCGTATGCCTGTAGTTTAGCCTACTGCTACTTGAAATAAGCATGCTGCTAAAAGACTGCAGCAGATGGTATTTTTACCACTTTAGGCAAAACATGGCACCTATAGTTCGGCTTCTACAATTTTAATTTTTTAACACTTTCAAAATGACTTGTTTAAATATCTCCATCACAGAGACTAAGACGTTTTACCAATTTCTTTTTAATAATTGCTTCTAACAACTTGGTCAAAACCAGACTGTGGCACTGTCAATGTGACACGTAGTCATTTTTTCCATAAGTACCTAGGCTGTACCTTAAACGGGCTTTAATGTGCGTGCTAATTGTGACACCAAGACTCTAAAAATGGCTTCCTGGAGCCCAGTCTTCACTGTGCTGTTTATGTAATTTC